ATGCATGTCCCCCACAATAAAAATAACATTTTTGAATTGTATGAAAATATACATCATGATTTAAAAAAAATTTTTTTAGTAATCTAAAATACCATAAGGACAAAAAATAAAAATCACTTGAAATTCTATCACCTTGGGATAATTATTTGGGTGTCCATCCTTTGATCCTCTTTCCATCTATGCCTCTGCATAGATCTGTAAAACAGTATGGCAGTCCCTCAAAAAATTAAACACAGAATTACCATATATCCAATAATTTCATGTCTGGGTATACACCCAAAAGAATTGCTAGAGCTCAAATAGGTATTTGTACACCAGTGTTCACAGCAGCATTATTCCCTATAACCAAGAGGTCAAAACAACCCAAATGTTCACTGATGGGTGAATGGATAAACAAAATGTGCATACAATGGAGTATTATTCAGCCTTTAAAAATGAGAGAAATTCTGACATGCCACAACATTGTCGAAATTTGAAGATGTTATGCTAAATAAAATAAGCCAGATAAAAGGACAAATATTGTATGATTCCATTTATATGATGTACCTAGAGTAGTCAAGCTAATAATGACAGAAGGTAGACTCATGGTTGCTAGGGGCTGGGGCAAGGGGTAAGTGAGGAAATATTGTTTAATGGGTACAGAATTTCGATTTGAGAAGATAAAGAAGTTCTGGAACTGGATGGAGTTGATGGTTTTACAGTGATGTGAAGGTAAGAAATGCCATTGAACTTGACAGTTAAAAACAGGTAAAATAGTAAATTATGCTCTGGGTATTTTACCACAATGAAAAACTAAGGTAGAAAATATTTTAGGATGTAGCAGCTGATGCTACATCCAAAAATTATGCCATCCGTACTTATCTTTTAAATACTTGTTTAGATTCCTAACTTCTGGTGACTGAACTCTAGAACTCTATAGACACATTGACCAATTTCAACTAGTCAGGCATAATAAAAACACCAGGAAATGGTCCCTTGATGATAAGAGATTACTAAACCCTCTGTTTTACAAGTATAACTTCAGTGGCTAGCATGGTACACTAAATTCTTTTTCTGTGTAGAGTGGTCAAGAAACTTGTGTTTCTTCTTACAGTAACTATAAAGTTTACATTGGTCCCTGAGATTTCACTAGCCAGCAGTAAATCATGATGAACTAAGCTGTAAGTAGTTAGCCCTGTGGTAGACTGATTCTGAGACCTGGAACACAGAATTATAAGACCTGGAATTTATAATCTTCTTGTGGGGGAAAAAAAAAAATACCACAAATAAGCCAAGATGGAGGCTGTAGAAAGCTACAAATGAAATCATTCACATACAGTATGTGGTAGATGCCTTTGTCTTTTTCCAAACGAGACATCAAATTTCCTAGCTCACTGGAAACATAGCCCCTGTATTTTCCCAACAAAGAAGGAGGCATTTCCCCATCTGTCACAGCAGCCTCTGCTTAGGACCAGAAATATCTACTAAGCTTCAACAGAGCCTCTGTAACTCTGAAGTCAGCTCTTGGAAAATGGGTGGTGTGTCCGGGAAGTTCTGAACTGGAGAAGGCATCACTACCCAGAACTACAAAAGAATAATGATTTCTTTTCCTCCTCCATGGAAAATGGGGTCTCCCTGGCAATCATACAAATGAGGAGAGTAAGAGAGAGAAAGAGATTCAGGTCAAGTGAGGAGAAGAGAGAAACCTACAAGATGATGGTTCTCAACCTTGGCTGCAAGCTGGAATCACCTGGGGGGGGGGGGGGGGCTCTAAAGGAAAACCCATGCATGCATACCTTCCCTCACCACACTCTTTCCCCATCAAGATGTTGATTCTATCTGGGACTGTGAGCTGAACACCAGGATTTTTTATAGACTCATCATATGAGTCTAGTTTCCAGCCCAGGCCTGGAAACCACTGCTTTACAAAAGGAGAACTTCATCCTTCAGTCAGTCTTCTGGAGACTCTGCCCAGGACCTCAATTTTCTGCGAGAGTTAATGATTTAAAAAATGTTAAAGTGGTCTTGCAAAATTGCTCTCCAGTTAGATACAGAAGATGTGATCATATTCCATCACTAGAGGGCAGTTTCTTCATTGTCAATACTTAATTAAGGTATTGCCTCACGTGAATTCACTCAGGTTCCTCTCATTTAAAAAAAAAAGCTGCATGATGATGTTTTAATGAAGGTATACTATAGCCTGACTTTCATGACTGTCAGTTCCGTCCTATTTATGAAATGACTGTTTGAGATTCTAATATTAAATAGGCTTTGTGTCCTTTTATTTGTCACATGCCCTCTTCCTAAAGGGTTTGTATTGTACGGGATATGTTGTTTTCATAAAGTGTACGGCTTTGCTGTTACCTATGTTACCAAAACAGGAGGGAAGGTGTGATACTATCTGACTAAGATCTGATTACTTTCTGTCTCAGAAAGTGAGCCAATAAATGTCAGTTTTTAAATCATTTGATTTTTTTATCTTGAAATAGAAATTCTGCATTTCTAACAAGCTTCTAGGTGATGCCAGTGCTGTGACTGCTGGTGGAGAAACCACCATGAGTAGTGGAAGGTAGAGAAGCTGGGGGCAGACACAAGATTCCTCTTCTGAAGATATCCTCAGATGTTAACTTACATGTCGATGACATGTCTGCCTGCCTATCTATTCCCATGAAGACAGAAAGACCACAGATCCAGTGATCCAAGCTGGATACACATCAGAATCATTTGGTTGCTTCTTAAAAGCAAAGATTTTTAGTCTCAACCCCCTGAATACCAGTAGGTCTGGAAGAGGGCCCAGGAATTTATATTTTTTAACTAGTACCCAGGAGATGTTATGATATCCTTCTGTTTCTGTTGTTGTTGTTGTTTTCATGTTTAAAGGCAAATGAATTTCATTCCTTTCCATGCAAAACATAATAAGCTATCTTATATGCTTGTTGTTTCTTTTTTTCCAAATCAAGTTTGGAAACTTGATTTGGATCCTCCAACCTTGCAGGATCCACTCATCCTCTACAGTAAGCCATCTTATACCATGTTCTGCTAAGCATCTTACATAGGAGAGACTTGTTGACTAGTTAAGGGGTTTGTGCTGGGAGAAGAGCTAATGTCTACTGTCTCTTCTGTTGCCACCAAGCTCACGGAGGTCCATTGTCAACTTGTATCAACAGATGCCTACAGAAGCCATTCAGAGAGTCATGGCAGGGAGGAAGGCATAGGACAAGAGATTTCTATTCTGTGATGGGGTCAAGAGTCTCAAAGTTTCCATTAAGTCCTGGTCTCCAAAGCCATACATAGTTAGTTATTTTCACTGCATTCTGTTGGAGCAGTCACAAACTTTCACTCAGATACAAGAGGGAATATAGACGCCAGTACACATTGGGAGGAGTGTCAAAGTCACACTTGACTGGCCACTACATTTCCATGAGCTTGCCTGTTTTTGAAAATCACTTTTGCTCAAAATTTTTTATTTTACAGAGACTGAGGTCAGAAAAGGGGAAAGGATCTTTCAAGGTTATTGACAGAACTAGGATCCAGACTCTCCTGGTCCTACTAGATTGAGGCATTGCTGCCTACAAGGAGCTCTAGTCTGATTCTTAAACTGTAAGATGGATGTAGTAACTACCTTTCAAAGATGGCCCACAGTGAATCAGGATTTTCTACATTCACAACCACATGTTGGCCCCCTCCCACATTTAATTCGGCCTGCCCTAAAATGCTATGACAGATAGAATGCTCTGGAAGGGATGCTGTGTAACTCCAGAGGCTAAACCTGAAAAGGCTTGCAGCTTCCACATCCTTCCACCTTTGGAACACCTAGTACCCAGGAGATGTTATGATATCCTTCTGTTTCTGTTGTTGTTGTTGTTTTCATGTTTAAAGGCAAATGAATTTCATTCCTTTCCATGCAAAACATAATAAGCTATCTTATATGCTTGTTGTTTCTTTTTTTCCAAATCAAGTTTGGAAACTTGATTTGGATCCTCCAACCTTGCAGGATCCACTCATCCTCTACAGTAAGCCATCTTATACCATGTTCTGCTAAGCATCTTACATAGGAGAGACTTGTTGACTAGTTAAGGGGTTTGTGCTGGGAGAAGAGCTAATGTCTACTGTCTCTTCTGTTGCCACCAAGCTCACGGAGGTCCATTGTCAACTTGTATCAACAGATGCCTACAGAAGCCATTCAGAGAGTCATGGCAGGGAGGAAGGCATAGGACAAGAGATTTCTATTCTGTGATGGGGTCAAGAGTCTCAAAGTTTCCATTAAGTCCTGGTCTCCAAAGCCATACATAGTTAGTTATTTTCACTGCATTCTGTTGGAGCAGTCACAAACTTTCACTCAGATACAAGAGGGAATATAGACGCCAGTACACATTGGGAGGAGTGTCAAAGTCACACTTGACTGGCCACTACATTTCCATGAGCTTGCCTGTTTTTGAAAATCACTTTTGCTCAAAATTTTTTATTTTACAGAGACTGAGGTCAGAAAAGGGGAAAGGATCTTTCAAGGTTATTGACAGAACTAGGATCCAGACTCTCCTGGTCCTACTAGATTGAGGCATTGCTGCCTACAAGGAGCTCTAGTCTGATTCTTAAACTGTAAGATGGATGTAGTAACTACCTTTCAAAGATGGCCCACAGTGAATCAGGATTTTCTACATTCACAACCACATGTTGGCCCCCTCCCACATTTAATTCGGCCTGCCCTAAAATGCTATGACAGATAGAATGCTCTGGAAGGGATGCTGTGTAACTCCAGAGGCTAAACCTGAAAAGGCTTGCAGCTTCCACATCCTTCCACCTTTGGAACACCCCACTTTGAACCTAGACCCAATTCTGTGAGGGAGCTTTAGCAAGCACTGGAGAGGTCCACATACTCAACTGGACTCCAAGCCAACAGCCATCACTACCTGCCCAGCTCTGAGAATGAGGCCACTTCTAGTCATCCATCCCAGGGGGTGGAGGATAACTGATAACTGAAGATAAGATAACTGAAAAGACAGAAGAAGAAATCCCTTTACCTGTTAGGCTGGAAAGAGATTCGATCATAGCCAGTGAGTTCACACAAATCCTTCTCGAGTTCTCGGAAAAGCTGCTGGTACCCTTGAGCTTGGTCCAGAGGTACAAAGGGGTGGATGTTTGCAAATTCTTTCCATGTGATAGGCTGAAGAGCAAGAGGAGAAATCATATGCATATGTATACATTGTAATAGTAATAACAATACTAACTTTAATAATGATGTGATGATGATAGCAATAGCTAACACAGAAAGTGCTTACTATGTGTCAGGCACTAATCTAAGCACTTTAAATAAATTCATTCATTTAACTCTTACCGCAATCTTATAAAGTAAGTACTATTACTGTCTTCATTGTACAAGTGAGTCACAGTGGCTCCGGAAACGGCACTTACACAACAATATAACATTTTCCTATTTTTTCAGGAACAAAAAAGCCCCCAAATTGATTTCGATCCATGAAACTCAATGAGTTGTTTCAGGTATGGTTTATTCAAACTCTTGCATAGCACATATGTTATTCTTTTTTTTCATTAAGCAGAACAAAACACCAACATAAAAGTAAATGGGGAAAATCCTATTACAATATAAGATGATTTTATTTTCCTGATGTGATCTGTCATATCAGAATAATCCTACAGAAAAAAAGAAACATGCTGGCCTAGTACAGATATTTACCAAACACCACAGCAGGATACAAAAACCTTCTGTTGATACAAGGAATAAATTAAAACCTCAATCTCAACCATTTTGGCACTGAGAAATGATTTATAGAAAGCTTAATTCCACCTGAGCTTAACAACTACAAATTTATAAAAGCTTTTAACATGGCAGATTTAAAAGGAAGTCTGGTGGGGAGAGGTAGGAAGACATAAATGCTATATCTTTACTTATTTTAATATTTAAAAATAATTTTGGTCATAAATGTAAATGATCAGGTTGTGATAAAGTTAGCGTTTCTGCCAAGATTGTTTAAGAGTGAGGTAAAGGATTTCTAAAGTAGTTATTAATCACAGTCCCAGTGGCAGCTTCTCTCATTAACTACTATGCACAAGCCAAGACACTGTCTCTGCTAAGTCCCCTCTTAATAGATGTGACCTACTTACCGTGAGTTCAGATGAACTGTTGAGCTTCATCGTACAGGACCCCTTTAAGAAGCACAGCCAAAGTGTATTACGTTAGTGACTTCCTATGTTCCATCTGATCAGTCCTCCCATCTCTCTGAAAGGCCAACCATTCATCTATCTTGCAGCATATTAGGTGTGACCCAAAGAGGTGGAATCAGGGTGGGGATGGGAATGGAAATGAAGGCAATAATTACCAGTGGAATCATGCTATGAACAAGGGAAATGTCTTTGTTTTCCAATCTCTTCATGTATCGGACAATATTTGCTTCTGAGTGATAGCTGTGAACAAAAAACATAGGGTTTAGACCAATATAATTAAATAAGAGCCCACACACATCTTTCTAAAAGGTTAAGATACACTGAAATCTACCTTCAACATACAGATCAAAATAGGCCATGAGCAACATGCCAACAAAATATCAGAGACAAGGGCATGGACTGCCCCCCACAAACCACAGAGGATTCCCTAGGACAAGAAGCTGCCCATGGGAGTGAGAGAAAGGGCTGGAAAGAGGACGATGCTGAGTCCCTGGCTACCATCTTCAGCCTGGCAACCAGGCATCCAAACTCCCATCTTTTTCAGGAGTAGAATTATGGGTTACGGTGCCCAGGGAGCAGAACCATCAGGAAATATGATGTGCTCTGTGACCAGGTTAGAATTGGGATTTAGCAGTTACTCAGGCTAAACCACCAGAGAAGGCAATGGCACCCCACCCCAGTACTCCTGCCTGCAAAATCCCATGGATGGAGGAGCCTGGTGGGCTGCAGTCCACGGGGGCGCTAAGAGTCAGACACACTGAGCAACTTCACTTTCACTTTTCACTTTTACACATTGAAGAAGGAAATGGCAGCCCACTCCAGTGTTCTTGCCTGGAGAATCCCAGGGACTGGGGAGCCTAGTGGGCTTCCTCCCTCTATGGGGTCGCACAGAGTCAGATATGACTGAAGCAACTTAGCAGCAGCAGCAGGCTGAACCACAATAACCATATCGTAGTTGAAGCCACTCTCCACTGTGCTCCCAATGCAGAAGTCACACAAGCCACACAAACCTGTTGAACACTTGATGTGTGAGGAATGGGCTAGTCCTCTTGAAGGCAGTCCCTAGAATACCTCTCCGCTCCTCGCCCATGCTTTCAGCAACCAGCTCCTGCATGGAGAGATCACAGACACTGAAGGGCGGGAATCATGCCTGGAACCACATGTGAAGCAGGCTCCCATTAAGCATGTGTTCTGAGACAGCACCAGAAATTCCCTACCACCAACCTCTCACCCCTTTCTGGGACATGTGGCATGGTGCAAAGGCAGAGGTCAGGGTCATGCAGTGTGGCAATTCTTCAAAATACCACGCTTAAGTTCTGTTGAACTTAGCGACAGTAAATAAAAGCTGTACAATTTTTACTGCAAAAACAAAAGTTGACATCTCCTGCATGTTCCATAAATAATGAAGCAAGTTACAGTAAATTATTTTAAAGGGCTATCTAAAAATTTACCATGACAAAGCTCAAGTGAGGATTCTTATCTCTTTTGTCTCTTTTGTCTTTGAGAACAATTCTAATAAAATACAAATGTCAAGACCATTCAGTAGGAAAAGGAACAGTCTCTTCAACAAATGATGCTGAGAAAACTGGATATACACATGCAAAAGAATGAAACTGGACCCTTATCTTGCAGCATACGCAAAAACTAATTCAAAATGGATTAAGGATCTAAATCTACAAGCTAAAACTATGATATCTGGGACTTCCCTGGTGGCCCAGGGGCTAAGACTCCATGCTCCCAATGTAGGGGGCCCAGGTTTAATTCCTGGTCTGGGAACTGAATCCCACATACTGCAGCTAAAGATTCTACATGCTGCAACTGAGAACCAGTGTGCCAAAATAAATAAAGTAAATATTAAAAAATAAATAAATAAAATAAAATTATAAAACTCTTAGAAGAAAGTATAGAGGCAAATCTGCATGACCTTGGATTTGGCAATGATGTCTTTATGACACCAAAAGCATGAGCAACAAAAGAAAAAACAGATAAAAGTGCCCTTTTGTGCATTAAATGACACTATCAAGAGAATTAACACACAACCCACAGAACAGGAGAAATATTTGCAAACCATATGTCTGATAAAATATCCAAAACATATAATACGTGGCTTGTTCCTCATTCTTCTCCAGGCTGATAAAATGGTTTTCTGGAGCCCTCAGTGGGTGTTCCCTAAATTCCTCAAATGCATGGAACAAATACTGTGATTAAATTTAAATTAAATGCAGAATTCTAGAGGGAGGATACTTATTCAGTTTTGTTTATTAATTAATTTAAAAGAGAACAGTGTAATACTTCTTTGATAATTTACATTTGTTTTCTGATTTGAAGTCAGGTCTCAAAGAGGACTTAGACAACCAGGACAGCACTGATAAACACTCTGGAACCTATTTCTGCTTCCTTTCAATGGTTCATTTAGCCAATATTTATTGAGTGGCTTTTTTGCCATAAGCTTTGCAGCGTGTTGTGATTAACACCTTGCTACAGGTGTAGGTAGCTACTGATGCCTCTCTTCCATCTCATAGAATCTCATCCTCACATGTCCCTGCTATTTCATCATTTTAGAAACCTACTCAGTTACACCACACTGCTTCTAGTTCTCATGCTATCTCTCTCCTCCTAGCCTTTGTGGCTGCTTTTCCCGGCATCTGGAACACCTGTAGCTCCATCCTCCTTCTCTGCAGTTGTGTCTGGATAGCTCCTACTCATCTTTCAGGTCTCCACTTTGAGAATTTCTTCCGAGTCTTGGTGAGAAGCTCCTCCTCTGTGCTCATCACAGACAGTGCCCATCATAATACCTAGACTGCATTCTTGTGCTTGTTCAGATCCTCACTAGACTAGAAGCTCCATAGGGCAGGAAATATGTCTGATTTAGCACTATCCTGGGGACTTAACGACTTCCCTGGTGGCTCAGATGGTAAAGCGTCTGCCTACAGTGCGGCAGACCTGTGTTCGATCCCTGGGTCAGGAAGAGCCCCTGAAGAAGGAAATGGCAACCCACTCCAGTACTCCTGCCTCAAACCCCATGGACAGAGGAGCCTGGTAAGCTGCAGTCCATGGGGTCGCAAAGAGTCGGACACGACTGAGCAACTTCACTTTCACTTTGGGGACATAACACATATTAATGACCTGGCACAGTGTATTAGGTTAGTTTTCCCGTAATCAATATAACCAAGATGTAAATGTTATGAAGCTTTGTATTAGGAATAGCTTCAATTAAGTACAATTAACCGTCTTTCCAACTAACCTGGCTAATCAGTCCTGGCTGGGGCCCAGAGCAGTGACCTCTAACTATCAGCAGTCACAGGAGCAAGGGAAAATCAGTAGTTTAATTTTAACAGCAGGCCAAGGTCATTCCTGGGCCCCCTCTCCCTCACAACTCAGGCCCACAAGAGGCAAGGCCATCTCTGACACCTCCCCAAATAGTCCTTATGAGGAGTGTGTATTTTAATTTACTTACTGCAGATGACTCACAGCCAAAGATCCACAACAAGTCATCCAGATCTTTTTCATTGACTGTTTCATCAAGAGAAATACCAAGCTATAGAAATGAAAATGAAAGGGAAAACATCAGCTGTAAATGCCAAGATCAGGGCTAACATAAAAAGGAATGAATTTGAGGAACTTGTAGTGAGGTGGATGAACTTTAAGAGACTGTCTTACAGAATGAAGTAAGTCAGAAAGAGAAAAATAAGTATCTTATATTAATGCATATACATGTAATTTAGAAAAATAGTTGTGATAAACCTCTTTTCAGGGTAGGAATACAGATGCAGACTAGAGAATGAACTTGTGGACACAGAGCGGGAAGGAGAGGGTGGGATGAATTGAGAGAGGAGCTCTGACATATATATGCTACAATGTTTAAAATAGCTAGCTACTGGGAAGATGCTTATAGCACAGGGAGCTCAGTGCTCTGTAAGGATCTGGAGGGGAGGGATGGCGGGGTGAGGTGGGAGGGAGGCTCACGAGGGAGGTGATAGATATACACTTATGGCTAATTCATGTTGCTGTACAGCAGAAGCCAACATGACACTGTAAATCAGTTATCCTCCACTTAAAAGTAAGTTTTAAAAAAAGAATTGAACACACACACACACACACACACACAAAATCAGGGCTGAAACTCTTAAGAGAAGTCCAAGGGGAGAAAGTGCTAGACAAAACTCTCCGTTGTTCTAAAAAAACAGAATATCATTATGTCCAGGTGGGCTCTGGGGCAAAGCAGGCTAGTCCAGTCCCAAACTCCACAAGTTTCAGAGTTTTACAGCCACATCTGAACTCTAACAGTCTGAGGGCTGCAGGGCACCCCTTTTGGTACTAGATAAGCTCATCATTTTCTTCCTAATGGTTACTTTCTGGTACAGATTCCTCTGTACCAGATTCCTCCCAGATTCCTCTGCACAGATTCCTCCCAGAAGAATGTATATGTATGTGTCTCTATTTGTAATATATCACATATATACACTTCTTTATCCTGAAAAAAATATTTAACATATTATGAACACTTAGCTTTTCAATAGATCAAAACTCCCTATCATTATTTTTAATGGCTATATAATATTCAACCTTAAATTATGTACCATAATTTTAACTAATTACTTATTACTGGACATTTAGGCTATTTCCAAGATTGTAATATTGCAAATAATGTTTTGGTGGACACCCTTTACATCCTTATCTGATTATTTCCTTTAGAGACATTCCTAGAATTTCTGGATCAAATTGTAGGCACTTTTTAAGTTTTTGATACAAATTGTTTAAGTGCCCTCATAAAAGTCATACCAATATCAGTATTCTTTTTTAATCTTTGCCAATGTATTGGGAGAAACACTATTTTATTCTTTCAATTTACATTTATTTGATTAATAGTGGGTTTAAATTATATATGTTCATTTGTATGCTTTCTTTTAAAATTACATTTAATGTTCTTTGCTCAGCTTTTTCTCAGGGTGTTCATCCTTCTTGTATATGGGGTCGGGGGGACTGAGCAAAAGCTCAGTATACTAAATATATTAACACTCAGTCAATCATAGGTGCTGAAAATATTCTTCCGCAGTTTTTATCCGACTTTTAATTTTGCATGTGACATTGGACATGCAGTGAGTTTTTAATTTTACTTATTCACAATTATCAGTCTTGTTACAACCAAAATTTTTAAAATAGACAACTGACTCACCTTCGGATAAAATCAAAGTGGCATTATGCACCCTCCTAGCAATATGTTCCAGCCCATGGGACCCATGGTAGATTGCAAACATCACAGCCATATTCGCCAGGAGAGCCTAAACAAAGAGCATTTAAAGGATGATGTTCAGCAATGTGACAGAGACAGGTACTGAAACTGACAACAGGGACTAAGCAAAACGATCAGACTTCCTGCTTCCTCCATGCAGTTGGGAATCATTTATAACCTGCCTGGCCATCTGAGGGGAAAAAAAAAACAAACAGCATCTAAGGCACCTTAGAGTCACTACACTAAACCTTTGAATGTGACCATTAATGAGAGATTCCATTCATGCAACATAATTTTGCCACTCGTAAAGGGGCAATCAGACTGTCATCAGATATGTGATATTTAACAGTGGAAGACAGTGGAACAAAGACCTCAGGGGAAAAAAGTGAGATCTAAGAATTTTAGGCTCAATAAAATGGTTCTTCAAGGATAAAAGCAACAAAAATTTTCAAACACACAAGAACTCAGGGAGCATAATTCTCTTGACGTCTCAAATAAAGCACTAAAAACTGAATTGCAGCCAACCAAGAGGTGAATGGTAAATTTACAGCAAAGGACCACCAAAGATAAAAATGCAGGACATGGAGAATAAAACCAAAATGAGATGGCAGGAGATACATTAGAAAGGGAAAATCAGAACCTACGGCTTATTTCCTGCTGACAGTAAGGTCACCTTCTCAGGTAAGTTATCTCTTTTGACTGTTGATTGAGGTTTCACAGAAGTATTTACAGGGAAGTATGTATCCTGGTGTGATACAAAATGGGAAAGAATGGCATTGAATCTCTCTTGAAGCTCTCAGAGATTCAGGGAAGGAGTCCAGCATAGGGAGCAAGGAAGGGACCACTGTGATGGCACCTTGGATCACGGAGAAGGATAAAACGAGGGTGGCTTGGGTCAGATACCAAAATGAGTGCCAATCTGGGGGAAAATAATGGAGGCCCACCTCCTATTTCTCCTTCTGGCTCTCTCTCTCACCTGTTTGTCTTCTAACCACGCAATATCATCCATGTATCTAGTCCAAACTCAAGTCTCTGACTCCTCAACTGCCTTAGTCCATTTGATTCTCCCACAGCCTCTAACATCTCATTGGTCCAGCATCACAGTCTCTCTGAAGTTTCCAGTCCCACTAACGTGACCTTTGTCCTAAGGTACTAGGTCAGCAGTTCAAGATCCACCTTTATGGCCAAGCACTCCAAGGTGGGAAGGGGCCCTTCACGAAGTAGAAACACATCTCAGCTGAGAAACACAATGCTTTGAAGTTGGATGATGTTCAGTATCAGATCTATTGTGTTAGGTACACTTTTCCTCTGTGAGGCTGCTATAAGGAATATCTCTGTGGCAACTGCTAAACAAGAAAGTTCTTGAAAAATGCCAGAAAGTGAAATCAGAGTCAGTAAAGAAAATGAGGAAAAGAAGATATCAGAGAACACAGAAGTAGGCTTTCTTGGACCAAATCCCAGAGAGAGTACAGACTCTCTTGTGGACTTCAGTTAACAGTTAGAAGTAAATACAGAGGAACACCTTACAGCTATGGAGAGTGCATTTCTGAAGTAAAACATCCATAGAACAGAGTATCATGGCTTGTGGCTATGCTGCCTGGAAATGAAAACTCAGGCTAGAGTTCACAGAAAACCCTGGAAATCTCCCATCACAGAAAGTCTTGTGGAGGTTGATTCATGTTCCTTTTAAACTAGAGATCATGAACTAGAAGGAAAAAAAGAAGTAGGAACATAACTTCTGTTCACTGTAGACAGCTCAAGTTAACCTGGAAAAATAATTCAAGCCTTGAAGCAAAAAACCCTTAGTGTACTTAATGATCAGAGAGACACCTTCTGGAAGAATATGATCAGAAAGCAGCAGAGGAAGAGAAGATATGTTAGCAGAGAATTCAGCAAAAAAATGAAGGGTAAACTATAGAAAGTAAAGGCAGTGTATAAAGATCCATTTGCTGTCAACAGAGGACAAGCTTGTGACAACTGGCTCCTACCTGTGATACTAAAGGAGCTCCTCCCTGAAAAGCAGCCGTTTCCCTGAGACAAAAAATATAATGCAAGAAAACCAACAGAGGATACTGTTTCAATGACAATGACTGTAGAACAAGCTATTACTGTTGGTGCTGTTTAGTCATTAAGTTGTGTCTGACTCTTTGAAACCCAATGGACTGTAGCCTGCCAGGATCCTCTGTCCATGGGATTCCTTAGGCAAGAATACTGGAATGGGGAGCCATTTCCTTCTCCAGGAAATCTTCCTGACCCAAGGATTGAATCCGCATTTCCTGAATTGGAAGGCAGATTCTTTACTGCTGAGCCACCAGGGAAAGGCTCAGAACAAGCTGTAAAAAGACCTTATCATCAACTGCATCCGTGGAGAGGCTTTCTAAAACCTGATGGTGGTACTGTGAGCCAATGCCCTGAGGGGGAAGAACACTGTACTGCCAGTTGAGTTATCAGAAGATCTTTTTCCCTGGCCCTGAATGGAAGAGATGAACCTAAAATGGATCATATGCTCAGGTGTAGTCCTCCACCTGCTCCCAGGAATTGGCTGAGTGTCAATGAATACTGCTCCCTCTAACCTGAGCTCTTGGGCAATGTTCAAAACTCCTCCTCTTTCATCCCATCCATTTCAGGAATAACTCTCATGAGTTCTCAGTAAGAATACCCCATGACCACCACTGAGTGGCCAATCTAAACCATCCCCTCAATACAGTCACCTCAAGTATCTTTACTCGCCTTCCTCACACTAACCTGGAGCGCCTCCCTCTCAGCTGTAAGAGAATTACCATGCATAACAGATCTGCCCTGCAGCCAAGAATGCCAGAAACACTAATGGGTAAAGTATGTACATACATGGAACCCCAGTACAATACAAGACTGGCATTCTGACGAGACCACAAGGCTTGTCTACCAACAAGATCTTGTCATTTCTGGTGTGCCAGCTGCTCGGTAGATGATGAATGAATGAAACGACAACTCAGTAAAATGAATAAGTAGATCATTTCTGTAGACTGTAAGGCATTCAGTGAGCAGGTCAGGTTTGGGATCTACCTGAGCTGTACAGATGTTGCTGGTAGCCTTGTCTCTCCGGATATGTTGCTCCCTGGTTTGAAGAGCCAGACGATACACTTCTTTTCCACTGACATCTCTGGACCAAGAATAAAGCATTCAGTCAGCACAGATCATCACAGTACTGAGAGTTGCCATAAACAGAACTGCTTCTTTCCTTCCCATCTTGAAGTGAATTCAGCAATGTTACTTAGGTTCTAGTCCATAAAGAACAATTTCCAAACTATCTTCTTCCAAATGGGACTACTAATTTTCAGTTTGTACCCTGAGGATTTGAAGCACTGAGATGTATACAATAAGTTGGAAACCTTAAAAGAAAATTTCCCAGTAATCTCCCAGCCTAAAATAATGATGATAATTGAGGATTAAACTTCACTCTGAGCTTCTTGGAAGACTTCTTGGAGAACAGGGAAATACTGAACAAGGGAAATAGAATATTTATACCAGAAATCTGAGCAACTATGTGGCTATAAATAAAGTTAATAATCTTACCACTTGTCTCTAATAAAATCTCTTCTTTCTTAATGCAATTAAAAATGTAGATAAACACAGAGATTCAGCAGTCTTATCTACTATTTCATCAACTCTTTGGTCCACTTTCCAAAAAGGTCAGAAGTTCAATACCAAAATCAGAAGATAGTAATTGATATATGAAATTCTTTTAAAATCAGAAAACCTCTGCCTCATCTCATCTGGTGAAGAGACATCACTGAAAAAAGCTAATGTAAAAATACCTAAAGAAAATATCATTTTTACATTAAAAAGCAAAGTGCCTTTTGCTATTATGTGACAAAATGAAAGTATTTCAGAACTTCTCATCACCATCACATCAAGCACTAATGCAGACTATTCACTTACATTAATAGTCCAATTTTTATGAAAGGTCAAAAATAATATGCTAAATCTCCACAGTAATAATTATGGAACTCATCTAAGTTCTTAACCTGATGATCTTTAGCTGTGAGAAGCACTCAAGAAAGTATATTCGGAGGGACTTCCCTGGTGGTCCAGTGGTTAAGAATTTGCCTTGCAATGCAGAGGACTTGGGCTTAATCCCTGGTTGGGGAACTAAGATCCCACATGCCATGGAACAATGAAACCCATGCACCACAACTATTGACCCCACGCACTGCAACAAGATCCCACACGACACAACTGAAGATCTCAACGCTGCAACTAAAACTCGATGCAACCAAATATATAAATAGATACCTTTGAAAAATACCTTAAAAGGAAGTACATTTGGAAATTACTCAAATAGCCAAGGGGCAGGCCCCTAGGAAAGAATGTGGGTCACACTCAATGTGTGCATAATAGTCTCTTACTGCACTTGTCTTTACACAGCCACATGGCAAGCTAATCCTCAAAGTGCCTTTTGCTATTATGTGACAAAATGAAAGTATTTCAGAACTTCTCATCACCATCACATCAAGCACTAATGCAGACTATTCACTTACATTAATAGTCCAATTTTTATGAAAGGTCAAAAATAATATGCTAAATCTCCACAGTAATAATTATGGAACTCATCTAAGTTCTTAACCTGATGATCTTTAGCTGTGAGAAGCACTCAAGAAAGTATATTCGGAGGGACTTCCCTGGTGGTCCAGTGGTTAAGAATTTGCCTTGCAATGCAGAGGACTTGGGCTTAATCCCTGGTTGGGGAACTAAGATCCCACATGCCATGGAACAATTAAACCCATGCACCACAACTATTGACCCCACGCACTACAACAAGATCCCACACGACACAACTGAAGATCTCAACGCTGCAACTAAAACTCAATGCAACCAAATATATAAATAGATATCTTTGAAAAATACTTTAAAAGGAAGTACATTTGGAAATTACTCAAATAGCCAAGGGGCAGGCCCCTAGGAAAGAATGTGGGTCACACTCAATGTGTGCATAATAGTCTCTTACTGCACTTGTCTTTACACAGCCACATGGCAAGCTAATCCTTTCAAGAAAGAGACTAGTTAGATATAGAACACACCTAAAATATTTAGTCTTTCGAGGCTTTCATCGACCTAAATAAATTCATTTCTATAACTTCAGTACAAATATATTATACATTGCATGCATACTTTTCCAAATATGCACAAATGCATGGCATTTGAGAAAAGGTACATGGCATTTGAGAGCTAAATATAGTAGAATGGTGTGTGTGTGTTGGGATGGGTTAGGGGGTAGATAGGGCACTTATATCCCAAACATTAGTATCCTAAATATGTTCTCTCTTCTGACTCTATGTTCTATATTTCCTTAATTGACCCAAAATGACCCTGTTAAATTCCAAGAGAAATCAACAACTTTTGTGAGCAAGAGAAGGAGCAAGGAAAACCACAACCACAGTAGAAGGGAAAAAGCATGAGCTGCTTTACCTTGTTACCCCCACCATTCTTCCAGGCATCATCCTCACCAAGTTTTCTCTGACAGCAAAAAAGGCTGCATGTGGTCCACCATAGCCCAGAGGCACCCCAAATCTCTGTGAGCTGCCCAGGGCGATGTCTACCCCAAATTCTCCAGGAGGCCTCAGGATGCACAGAGCTAAAAGGTCAGTAGCACAGCAGGCCAAGCTCTAGAAAGGAAATAAGAGAAAATGGAAAAGGTCGTGGCCTTCCCTGAGAATAGTGGGAGGGTATCAAATTATCTCCATTACAGGCAGACTGGCAGAGTTGGTTTGTACCCCGGGAAATGTGTTTATTCATTCATTCATTTAAAATATTTACTAAGTGTCTACTATGTGCCAGGAGCCAGGGAAGAAAGCAAACTTGAAGAAAGGAGGTAGGAAGGAGGCAGCTTTACCATACTAGGTGATAAAGGTATGGAAATTAAAAACACTGAAAGAATAACAATAATCATTCAAAGTTTAGACACTCCTCCATGGACCCCCACAAGGAAAGATTCTCCTACCCCAGCCTCGTGGACTCTCTCTACTAGCTCCGTGAAGTCCTCCACCTTCCCCTCAGTGTCTGGGTACTGGAACAGCACTCCACTGACATCTTTGCGGCTGAAGTCCATTTCATGGGGTAACTTCAGCTCAATGAGGACTCCAGAATACCTGGAAAGACAAAGAACCACCATGTTTTTTATTTACAGGGAAAATCAAATTACCTACAGTTCCTTCTCCATGATAGAGATTCATATTCGGCGTCCTTCCTCAGTGCCCCACCCCCTACCCCATCCCAACATGCACACATACACCCCTATTCCACACCTGGCCCTTCAGTACTAACAGTGCTTCTCGCTGGCTCATATGCATCCAACAGCTCAGCTTGTTTCTCTCTTCTATCCTTCTGCTCTTCTCCCCCTTTCCTATCAGAACATGCTCCTGGGACAAGAGCAGGAACATGACTTCTTATGGCTATAGAACCAACACCAGTAATGGAAGAGCCGTCGCTACCTTGACTTTAGATGGGCCTTAGTGAAAGTCTCTCAGTCGTGTCCAACTCTTCATGACCCCATGGACTGTAAAGTCCACGAAATTCTCCTGGCTAGAATACTGGAGTGGGTAGCCTTGCCCTTCTCCAGGGGATCTTCCCAATCCAGGGATCAAACCCAGGTCTACCGTATTGCAGGCAGATTCTTTACCAGCTGAGCCAAATGGGCCTTAGGTGAATGGAAATCTCAGTAAGACAAGGAAGAAAACCTTTCTTAGTTCTTGTAACTATCTAATTTCTATCATGTTAGAAAACCACTTCTGAAGGAATGGTGGTATGGGTTCAGGGGAAAGGCTTTCACAAGGAGAAAGCAAATAAACACACCCACGTGTGGCAGCTGTGCTGTGTTTGTTTTATTTGATTACAGCAATTAAAAAAATGTGCTTTCATCTACATTGTACTAACCCTAGGTATTATGTAGATTCCTAGGAGCCATGTTTGTAGGAATTTCAGACAGGAGTCATGTTTGTAGGAGTATATACAAAATTATGACAGTGTGTGAGAGTTCCACTTTTACTCTGTGCTTTTCAAACTTTTCAAAACACTGTTGAAATTACTTTGATATTCTTAATCTTCTTTTTACAAAAAGAGACAAAAAAATGTGGTAATAAAAAGCAAAGGCAATCAAATCCACTGTGTATTTTCCCCTAAATTCTGACACGGTTTACTTACCAATAAGATCATGGGAAGAAAGAGGGAGGGAAAATAAAACTCAACAACCCCAACTTAAACCAGGTTCACCTCCAATCACTTTGGAAATAAGAGGAAGAGACAACAGAGATAAGCATAATATTATCCCCGAGTTCAAAATTCAAATAAAATTAATTACTTGGCTCGAGTTTGGACGACAGCAATTGTTTGTGGGTGGCAACGGGGGTCAACAAAAAACTTCCTCCTCTTGTTCTGCCTGTTAAAAAGAAAAACTGCATTCAAACATGAACATTAAAGAGATCAGAGTATCTTCTAAGAATGCAAAAAAAAGATATGGTACTAAAGGAAAGTCTGAGCATAGAATAAAAAGTTATCAGTCACGAATAACTAATGGTAATGTTTCCTAATCAGAATTGCACTGAAATCCAATTCAAATTCTAACCCCATTTAGCAAAATCAATCTTGAACTGATTTAAATTTTTAAAAATATACTATGAGGAAAAAGAAACAAAAGGGTAGTAATTAGGTACAAGTAGAAACAAGAAACTAAGTCTTCTAAATAAAAACATTTGTGAATTTTATTGCCAAAAGAGCATTTGTTGCTGTTTAGTTGCTCTGTTGTGTCAGATTTTTTGTGACCACATGGCCTATAGCCTGACAGGCTCCTCTGTCCATGGAATTTCCCAGGCAAGAATCTGGAGTGGGTTGTAATTTCCTTCTCCAGGGGATCTTCCCAACCCAGGAGTCAAAACCACATCTCCCACATTGGCAGGCAGATTCTTTCCCACTGAGCCACCAGGGAAGTCCCAAAGGAATATTTATAGATTATCTAAATCAAGTGTCCTCATTCAAAGGAAAAGGATGGGATTCAGGAAACTTCTGAATCAGTGAACAGGCGGAGATCTGGGAAGAATGGGTGACCCTGAGGCAGCATGGAAGCTCTGAAGCCTTTCAACATACCCAGGCCTATGCAGACCTCCTGTCTGCCTGTTCCTGAGTTATATCATTTGCTAATACAATGCTTCTAGTAAGTAAAATGTTTCTCTGAGCTCAGTGAGCCACTCTAGTAAATTTAATGGAACCTTAGGAGGGGATCATGAAAACCCTGTGGGTTGAATAAAACCCGGAGTTGAGATTGGCATCCTGAGTCAGAAGGGGCTGTTGGAACCCTCATCTATAGCCAGCTGGTCAGAGCTCAAAGAATAACCTGGGCTTGTGACTTGCATCTGAATTTGGGCAGGGGCAGAGGGGTGGGGTGCAGTCTTATAAATCTGATCCAAGCAATAAATGCTGGAGAGGGTGTGGAGAAAAGGGAACTCTCTTATACTGTTGGTGGGAATGCAAAATAGTACAGCCACTATGGAGAACAGTGTGGAGATTCCTTAAAAAACTAGAAATAGAACTTCCATATGACCCAGCAATCCCACTCCTGGGCATACACACCAAGGAAACCAGATCTGAAAGAGACATGTGTACCCCAAAGTTCATTGCAGTACTGTTTATAATTGCCAGGACATGGAAGCAACCTAGATGCCCATCAGTGGACGAATGGATAAGGAAGCTATGGTACATATACACCATGGAATATTACTCGTCCATTAAAAAGAATTCATTTGAATCAGTTCTAATGAGATGGATGAGACTGGAGCCCATCATACAGAGTGAAGTAAGCCAGAAAGATAAACACCAATACAGTATACTAATGCATATATATGGAATTTAGAAAGATGGTAACGGTAACCCTATATGCAAAACAGAAAAAGAGACATAGATGTACAGAACAGACTTTGGGACTCTGTGGGAGAAGGCGAGGGTGGGATGTTCTGAGAGAACAGCATTGAAACAAGTATACTATCAAGGGTGAAACAGATCACCAGCCCAGGCTGGATGCATGAGACAAGTGCTCAGGGCTGGTGCACTGGGAAGACCCAGAGGGATGGGATGGGGAGGGAGGTGGGAGGGGGGATCGGGATGGGGAACACATGTAAATCCATGGCTGATTCATGTCAATGTATGGCAAAAACCACTACAATATTGTAAAGTAATTAGCCTCCAACTAATAAAAATAAATGAAAAACTAAAATAAAATAAAAAATAAAATTGAAAAAAAAAAGAGTGATACTTAATTACATGTTACTTTACAGATTACTGGGCATTCTCCCTGTTAACCATAACAGAAACCCTGTATGTAGAGGGCAACAATGTGCCCATCTGAAAAAACTTTATTTCCCCAGGTGACTTGCAGGTACAGGTGGTTAGTGAAACAGAAGTAAATTGTTAAGTAGGGGCTTCCAAAATACTATTGGCTTAATTCGCTAGAAGTGCCCTTTACTTCTTCCTGAATGCAGACATCATGGCTAGAGCTCCAGCAAGTCATCTTGTGATCAGGAGGACTGTAGAAAGGGGCCATTGCCTACCATTGCAGTAAACAAAGAATGTTGCCTGTCATTCCAGTTCTGCAAGGATGAAGCCACTAGGCACTGTAGCTGCCCATTGATGGTGCGCTGAGAGGAGTTCAGGATGGAGAAAAACAGGAAGTATTATATATATGCTTTGGAGACTGACCTAAGATAGTTAAGAAGCACTTCTAAGGAATAACTTCAATGAGCCCAGATTCTTGCATCTCCCCATACACTGAAAAGCATTAACATCATTAACCTGAGACATCTGTTCTTTGTGAATTGCAGTAATCCTTTGATGTTCGACTACATGGGATTTTCTTCTCCCAGCAAAAAGTTTCTACATATTCTGGCTCCTTCCTGATCTCTCAGCAGCAGTTCCTCAGAGCTGTATGAAAGACTGTCTCTGGGACTATTGTCCTCAGTAAGATCCCTGGATAAAACTTAACTTGCAAGTTTCAGGTTGTATCCTTTTCTTCCATCTACAGGATGAAAGCCTCACACTGAAGATGAGGCAGAGAGGAGGGCATCAGTCCGTGATGTTACCTCCGAGCTGCAGTAACATCCCTGAACAACACCATGTATGTGATGGGCAAAACGTCTTTCTTAAGAATATAATGTTAAACAATGAACAGCAGTGGTTTTTTAAAGGCACTCTATTTTGTATCTTTTTATTATCTCAACTAACTTGTGTAATGATACTGATGTAATGTATCTCATACACGTGTGTGTTGGTGGGGGGGGAGCAGGGGAAGCCGCACCCACACAGCAGTGGTGAGACTGGCCGATGTCCCTCGCCCTGGACCTCTTACCTGTGGCAGAGCTGCATTGCCTCCGCAGCCGCGGTGGCCTCATCCAGCAGGGATGCATTAGCCATGTCCAAGCCTGTGATGTCACACACCATGGTCTGATAGTTGAGTAAACTCTCCAGTCTCCCCTGAGACACCTCTGGCTGGTACGGAGTATACTGGGTGATCCTGTAAGGGACACAAAGGGCTATGTCCAAACTGTGAATCCACTATTCAGATTCACAAAATGCATTCATTTTAGAATTAGGTATCTGAAAACTAAGTTTTCCCCTCTTGAGAATGATACAATACATAGAGAAGCTTACTTTTTGTTTTCTATAAGGAAGCTTGGAATTAAATCATGGTGATAATACTTATCCTTTGGTTGGGGATAATCAGTACATACTTTTCTATCCCTCTAAGTTATGTCATCTTATATTTACATTTCAAGGATCTTATCATAAGTATGTGTTTTATTGCAAACTGGCTCTTAAAATCCACTTGGGCCTATCTGTGGTATTAGAAACAGAATTTTAGAAAAAACCTCACCTCAATCATGGTTCAAGAATCTAATATCTAATACTCAAGACTTTTGGCTTCGGAGGAGAGCAGTTTTGTTCATACTAACCAGAAGCCCTATGTGCGCCTAAAAAATTAATAGAGGTCAATTTAAGAATTGTCACTCTCCAGTTATTAGAAGTCTATGGGAGTTAACACCATAGCTATCAAAATTCAAGAATGCAAATAGTTAGAAGGCTGTATAGACATGAATTTTAATCTTATATCCTCCAGCTATTAGCCAAAAATATGTCTTCAGGTATGTGAGTTAACCCACTTAGTGCCTTCATCCCTTTTTATCATTCCTTCATTTATTTACACATCCCACAAATATTTGCTACATGCCCACTAAGTGGCAAAAACTATGATAAGTTCAGGTGACACATCAAAAGCAAGATGGGTAACAGTCTCTGATCTCAAGGAAAGTATTATAGTGGGGAGAGATAAAATACATGAAATCATTTCAGAGTGATAAACATTTGAAATAAAATGAGAGAGGAGAGGATGGCTGAAGACCTGGGACAGAGGGATCTTTTCATCAAGAATCCATTCACTGTACTACCAAAGTGTGTCAGACTGGAGTCCATGTTCCCACACGTGATTAGCATTGTTTCCTGTCTCTTGTTTTCATTCCTCCAAGCCTGAAGAGGGTTTTCCTTTCTTTCCTGATGGTAATCACACTCAGGGTATTCCCATCTGTTTTTTTTGGTAAGGCTTTGAAATCAATGTCTTCTTACCTCTGAGGGAGGAGAGAGTGGGGGAGCTTATCTTACCAAGCAGTACAACATTAAGACATTGAAATAGTTTCCCTGAAATGTTCATTGGTATAGTAGTGTGTGTGTGTGTTCTGTACACACTGTTTGTACAGCAGAGTATATTTTTGCTTCAATTAATTCCTTGAACAGCCTAGCTTAGCAACTGTAAATCAGTTTGCCAGATTCTAAGTGGCTGGTGAACTGGAATAAATGAGGCACACAATACACAATGTAGACAAAGTAGAAAGGGAATCTGAGCAGAAATGGGGTCACACAAAAGGCATCAACAAGGGGCAATTGTGATCTCAGATCAGATAAGATCTTCATGCATAGATTTTCATACATGTGTCTGCAACACAAAGACATATGCTTAAATTGCCTGCTAACATGACATTTTCATTTTACTCACTATCATTATTTGACATGCAAACAGACACACAATTAGACACACACACACACACAAACACACACACACACACAAAATCAAGCATATACATGTATCAGCCAGCCCATCCAAAGAATTCATCACAGCACTGAATGTAATATTGAAAAGTGAGCAACAGACTGTCTACTAAAAGGACAATGATTAAATAAATCAGAGAACATGCATAGAACACTATGGGTTGTGAAAATGATATATAAAAGATTTCCTGACTAGAAGATGTTCATGATACATTAATTTTAAAAGTAAAATAATAAGATTCCACAATCCTGGTTTTGTAAATTTATAGAAATGTGTGAACCAAAATGTAAACAGTAGTTTTCTCTGGGTGGAAAGATTAATGTAATCTTTACTTTCTTTTTATTTGCTATGTTCTAAATATTAAAGACATTGGCTACTATTTATTAACTATCTTCTGTGTGTCAGGAACATGTTCACTATCTTTTTTTTGATGATTATGTTATGCATGCTCTTTGTGTCATCCTATATCCACTCATTTCTTTGTTGTCTTACTAGCCTAGCCCAGTGCCTAAAACAGGAAATTATCAAATATTTCTGGTGCAAATATGTGTTTAACTTTGCTGCTCGAACGGGGATGGGTTCCCAATTACCGATAGGAAAAACCCCCAAACCTCCCAAGCACAGTCCTTCATACCTAAGACGGTACTAATCCTTGGCTAACAGACTTTGGGATGTGATGTTTCCCCTCCCTTGCTCAGCCTTTTTCTCCTTAGGCTGATGCTAATTAGCACTGCTAAAAGCTGAAAGCTTTAAAATTATTTTCTTGCAAAGATGATAATTATATGATCCTACTACTTTTACTTATAAACTTTTATTGTCCACACTTTTTTTTAAACACTACTAAACAGGCATAAATAGTCTTAAAAATCATTTATTAATGAACTCAGATGGGTGAGTCTCAAGCCTGGAGACACTAAATAAACCCTCATTTCAGGAGAAATATGCTAGCACAGGGCCTGCCATCCTACATAAAAGGGTTTAGTTGCCTCAGGCAACCAGTGATCAAGAAAACATCTGTGATCTACAACTTCTATGTTCCAACTGATTTTAACTCAATTGGTTTCTCTTCCTAGATGTATCTGAATATTAAAAAACAAAAAGTATCTGCATATCCAAGAAGGCATTATGTCCTGTTTAAATAGGATGCTTGATACATTCAACATGGCATTAACATTTATTCCAAAATAATCAGCATTCTTTATGATTGTGACCAAAAAACTGGAGGTGGGGGGAGGGAATTGCAGTAGGACATACATTCATGAGATTCTTTCATTCATTTCCAGTGCCATCATTATACAAAACAGAAACAGTCACAAGGAAAATGTAAATGTTTTGATATTAGTTAACTGATATTATCAACAACTGAAAATTTCAAAAGTAGATCCCATAAAGTATAATCTAGGCCTAATGTAAATTTTCTTGTAAGAGCCCAAATGTTTGTATTCTCTGGAGGCTATGTTACTCATTTATTTTCACCTCACGTCAGCGGAATTTGTTGGTTCCATCTCTATGACAACCATTCAGAAGGGTGATAATGTGAAGTCTACCCACCCTCATGTGCACAGCCCGCCCTGTCCTGGCTGGCAAGGGCCAGTATCACCCTCTGGTTCAGATCAGCTTTCGGAGAATACAAAGGAACAATACTTAAAATCACCCCAAAACCAGGACTGAAAAGCAAACAGCACTGTCTGCCTCTCAAAACTCTGGGGCTCTAAAGTAAATGAACACACCCGCTCACAGCCAGGAAGCAATATGGCCAATGTTCTGTTCGGCCACCAAGAGCCGAGACTGCTGGCCAGTATTCAGACGGCTGGAATGTGCAGTCCATTCATGTACTCCTGAGGCTTGTTTTGTAAGGAGGAGGAGACAGGCCATTTGCTTTCGAAATCAAACTCAGAGCTTACCACCCAAACTTTTACCAATACCCCAGTGGAAACGAAGCCCTCAGCAATACAAATACTTCCGCATGTGCATGCATGCACGCATACACAAATACACACACGTGCACACACACACTTGGCAAAAACACTAGTTCTTGGACAGTTTATTCCTGTTCTCCTATTAATAAAGAAATGAACAATCTGAAACTAACAGCAATGCAGGAGTGATTAGGCCAGATCTGGCTCCTCTAATGATGGGAGGTGAATCACTGTATCTAGGACAAATGTCCGCACCAACCAGCACAACCTGTGTGCTTATGCAAAAGCAGACAAAAGACACAAAGATGCTGTGCTTCCCACCCAGTCTAGCCTGTGCCCTGAGCAACACACAATGGCAAGTTCTGAGACTTTGGCGGGGAGTGGGAGAAGCTGGGGCACAGAAGAGTCATGCAAATCAAATCACAGCACTCGTGTTTCTCATCAAGAAATACATTACCATCCTGAGTTCTCCAGTAAGTTCCGCAAAATTGTCTGTGGTACTGAGCAGTTATAATAGCCCATGCCAATATACGATCTCCAGATTTCATTCTTGTTGGAAATGGCATGCAGAGTTGCAAGGATTTCATTTTCACCTGATTGTGGGAAAGAAAGAAATGTTACAGAGAGAAAACATCTCAAAAGAGAGCTCTAGGTATAGTTTAAAGCCCTAATTTTTTTCAATATTGACATGAGGAGAATAGCTATATGGAAAATATAAGAACCATCCTCTTAGCAACACTAAGAACTAGATGCAGAAATCTGGGAAAAAAAAATTGCCACACAGCCCTCAGTTACTCTTCAGAGTTTTTTGTGGCTCTTCTTTTTTCGGTGTTATTTGTCAGAATTTCTCAATTTTTAACACTTGCCTCATTCCAGGTTTTTTCTGCTCCCTTCACATGTTTTATTTACACTAAATAAAATTTCTGCTCTTAGCAAATAGTATTTACCCTTTTAAGTTGCCTTATGCCAATAGTTGGTAGGTCTTAAATAACACATATGAAGGGTCTTTTATAAGTAGCTGATCACTTATAGCTATAACTTATAAAAGACCCTTCACTCAACCAAGAAAATATCGATTATAGTAAAAGAACCACGTGCAATTTTAACCAGCATTTTCCTTAAGGCACTAAGGTAATTAAGGAGTAATTATAAAAGTTCTCAGATACAGGCAAGACTCTGTTTTGGGTCATTCATATAATAACAAAATAATAATTGGCATCTGACATTTTAAGCACTTACTCTTTGCCAGGAATTGTACCAAATGCCTTCCACGTAGCTCTGGAAACTGAGGCTTGAAGAGGATCACCCACCTAAGGCTACGCAGCTTTAAATTAACTACCGAGTTGAACTCCAACTTCAATACTTTTCCCAATGGGCCAGACTGTGATCTCCTACATTTATAGCACTTAAACTGAAAGCTACTTTCTAGATACAGATGACCTACATGCTTCTTTCCCTGCCCCTCTGCATATAGTTAGATCATACGCATATAGCTACTAAAGTTTAACTGAGATTTAGCTACTTAGGCAAATGTCTGTCCTCTTTAAGATCTTAGGGACTCAGTCACTAAATCTTGGAATTTATTGATTTTATTGTTACAAATCTAGGCACAGCCATCTAAGATGGCAAACTGGCTAGGAAAATGCTTCCCAATATTTTAATTCTACTGAACTCTAAGTGACTATTATTTTCATTAATCCTCCTTTATCCTCAATGAAAACATTTTCACCCTTGGCTGTGCCCTCCCATCCCATTTGTTTTCACAGTAAATAAATTCACGAGAGATGTGTCATTTTGTCAGACTAGGCTAATAAAAGAGAGAAGTATCAGTTTGTAAGTATCAATTTCATGAGTAAATATAACCCAACTGCCTTATGATGGACAATCTTGCCTTCTTCCACTGAAAGTTTAGGACATAAAAGTGAACATACAATAAAACAATATCTGAGGAAATACCTAAGTACAGTATCTTTAGGAATAATCATGCAAGAAATGCAATCACTTTCCAAAGTCTTCTTAGGGTACAGTGATTGAGAAGCCCAGTAGGAAGGGAGATTAATTAGTAGTGCCTGGCAGACACCCAACTCAGCAAGGCCAGCTTCAATTAAGATACTGTGCAAGGAGGACAGGTCCCTGTTTCATATTATGCCAGGAGGACAAAAGGTCCAGCTCTCAAATGAGAATAGTCTTTGAAGGACTTTGTCAAATCAAGAGTTAACCTTTGAGAGACAAAGAATATTGAATAATATAATTTTTCCCCACATAATAGAAGATGATTTTACTGGTAGTGTGGATGGGTCAGAGGGGAGACTCTGAAAATAGGGAGAGATAGTAAGAGGCCAGCACAATAATCCAGGAGGGATATGGGCCAGGGAGTGTTGTGAGTTAAACTGTACCCTCTAAAAAGATATGCTGAAGTCCTAATCCCTAGAACCTAGAAAAGTACGTAAAACATCAGGGGCTGCTATGAGAGATGCTGATGTTTATCTGGAGACCCTAAACTTTCAACTAGAATAGTGGAGGAAACTGACTTCTTCCTTTTGCAAAAAAACACATTCTCCCCAACCTCCCAGCAGGGCTGAAGATGTTAGTGCAAGTTCATGTGTTCAGTGAAAGAACCTCAGTGACAGCACGGTGCCTTTCTTGTCCATTGGTTCTGCAGCCTCCTGCCTCTTACAGCCTCCTATTTCCCTCATCCTGTCCTGCATGTATGCCTTCACCACCTCCTATACTAGCCAGGGACCCACCGCCACATCCTACACCAGTTCAGGGCCTCCAGATACATATCAGCACCACTCACAGTTGCCAACATCTTACACACCTGGATAAAACACTTGAAAAAATTTAGAGGCCAATTAGCATAAAAGAAGAGCAAAATAATTAATTATAGATAAGAGAAGCATAAATATGTTCAAACTTGAGACATACAAGTTTTTAATCCTGCAACAGACATACTCTAATCGCTACAGGATCAAACTTTCCAAGCTCCTGTGGGCTCTGTCCCCACCTAGTTTGGGGCCAATGTGAACACAGCAGGCCCTCCAGGATCCACAGCTTCCAAATTTGTGGAGTTCAACCAAGAATCAAAAACTTTCAGAAAAAAAACTTTTCAGAAAATTCTAAAGAGCAAAATTTGATTTTGTCATGTGTTGGCACCTATTTACATATCATTTACATCATATTTACAACTATTTAGATAGCATTCACATTGCAATTACAGCTATTTATATACCATTTACATTGTATTAGGTATTATAAATTATCTAGGGATGATTTAAAGTATATGGGGCGGTTGTATGTAGTTCAGTTCAGTTCAGTCTCTCAGTTGCATCCATCTCTGTGACTGCATGGACTGCAGCACACTAGGCTTTCCTGTCCAAAACCAACACCCAGAGCTTGCTCAAACTCATGTCCATTGAGTCAGTGATGCCATCCAACNTTATTTCTCATATGCATCATTTTACAATAGAAGAGAAAAATCTATACTAGAGTATGTTCTGTGTATACTGGAGGTGTTCCATATATATTAGAGATGTTCCATATCGTCTAGAATACGTCCAGTCTGCTCAGTCTCTCCATCTTATTTATTTGCATCCTCTCCTTTTCTCCTCCCCTCTTCCCTGATCCCTCTGTCCACCCATTTCTCCTCCAGGGAATTTTTGCAAACAAGATGATACATATTTTTCTGTGTTTTTCTCCAGACTCATATAACCATTCTAAGATAGGTAGATTGAAAATCATTATTTCCTTTACCAAAATGAGATTGTTCTGTACTCTGCTCTCAAATCTTAGTTTTCTCATGCAATAATGTCTCATCCAAATTCCTTTATGCTCACTGGCAGAATGCAAATTCATCCTTCTTCATGGCTGCATAATATTCCATAGTGTAGATGAATGTAATATATGTAGCCACATCTCTCAGTTGACATACACTTTGTTTCAAATCTTTTTCACTATAAATGATGCTACAATGAACATCATTGTATGTGTACCCTGGAGACTTTTAAAAATTGAAGTATAGTTGACTTACAATGCTGTGTTAGTTTTCAATGTACAGCACAGAGTGTATATATATATTCTTTTTCAGATTTGTGCTGGGGACTTTTACTTTTAGAAAATAGATTCCCAGAAGGATTGCAGGGTTGAAAATGTGCGTAGTTTCCACTTTTTTCTTTTTTTTTTTCAGTTCTACCAGTTTTGCTACCAACCCATCTCCCTCCACGCTCGTGCACACATGCTCAGTCATGTAACCCCATGGACTGCAGTCCACCAGGCTCCTCTGTCCATGGACTTTCCAGGCAAGAGCACTGGAGTGGGTTGCCATTTCCTTCTTCTGTAGTTTCCATTTTAAGAGATATTACCAGATTCCTTTCCAAAATACTTTACATTTCCACCAGAAATATTTTTCCCCAAGTCCCAACCAGAAATAGGTGTTATCATACCTTTTAACATTGTGGGGGTAGGGTGGGGGAGGGGGGCAGAAACCAATCCCTCCTGGATACTGAGGGACAACTGTATTCCTTGATTGGTCCTCATTATAGCCTGGTCTTGACAATGAATTTTACATTCTACTGGGAACACAGTGAGTTGATAGAATGAGTAGAATTTGTACAACAAGCTAATGGACACTGGTGAACCACCAAGAGTAGGGCAAGTACTTGGTCATGCTTCTGAAAGTTATATGGTCTGAGAAAACTTTACCATTCACTCGTCCATTGCTCATCATGACCGGATAGAAGCCAAGACAGTTTGTGACTTGAAGAACAGAGTTAAGCTGCTTCTTACTGTGATAAAATCAAGACCTCACCTAGAGATTAACATACTAAATCAGAAAGAGAAAGAGAAAGACAAATACTATATGATATCACTTATATGTGTGGTTTAAAAAATGATACAAATGAACTTATTTACAGAAGAGAAATAGACTCATAAACACAGTAAACAAACTTTCAGTTACCAAAAAGAAAAGAAGAAGGAGGGATAAATTGGGAATTGGGGATTAATAGATATACACTCCTATATATAAAATAGATGAACAACAGGGACCTACTGTATAGCACAGGGAACTATATTCAGTATCTTCTAATAATCTATAATGGAAAAGAACTCAGTAATATGTACTGATATATAACTGAATCATTTTACTGTATACATTGTAAATCAATTGTATCTCAATAAAAATCAATTTTATCTAAAAAATCTAGACCTCAGACTTTACCAGTCATATTTAATAAAAAACACTTTCAAAACACACAACTTAGTGAGTGTCTGAATTATTTCTGTTTGTTCACTGGTCACCATTTCTCATACCTACTAATGAAATCTTACTTTGGTCCAATCAGCACAAGAGCCAACTCAGTGAGTGCATTTAGGAGCCCAGAGTTTGAGTTAATATGTTAAGTGATGCCAAGATTCAACAGGCCTGGAGAAAAGGGGAGAAAAAGGGAAAGTCCACTATCAGTGGTCTACTGCTGAACCAATCTGAAGTGGAACACAGCAGAAACAGTCTCTAAGAGCAAGTCTGGGGTCATGATCGGTCTAAATAAAAGCCCCAATCCTAACCATGCAAAGTACCCCATTGTACTTCACAACA